AGTACTCACCTCGAACCGGTGAAATCTCTAGCTCTCGACGCCTTTGCCCCTCAAACCGGCCTCCACGCGCGTCGAATCTAACTAAAATCAGAGCGAATACATTACAATATGCCAAGGGAACAATACCCAATCGAAAACAACCAAGAAATAACAGAAATCTCGAAACTAGCAAAACCCGAGCCCTGGGCCCGCTTCTCGAAAAATTACGAAATTCACATCACCGGATTCCTCGTCTCGCCACGAGTCCATACATATAAAGTTCACCAAAATCGGAGTTCGTTTGACCCTCCAAATTCCATTTTTACATCAAAATTCTCCCTAACTTACCCCATTTTTACCCTTTAATTCCTTGGGTTTTCAGTGTTAATTCATGTTTATACACAATAATAACATAATCTAAGCCCAAGAATCCATACCTGATGATAGCCCTCGAAACCCTCTTCAAAAATCGTCCAAAATCTCCTTAGTCCGAAGTCCAAAATGTTGTTCTTTCAAAAATTCGCGAAGATGATTAATTTCACTTAACTGCCAGGCATTTCGCTTCTGCGGTTCCAGTACCGCTTTTGCGGCTTCCGCTTATGCGGTCAACGTCCGCTTTTGCGGTCAACGTCCGCTTTTACTCCATATTTTCTACCTAGAATGACTAATGAAACAAAATGGCAATTTTATTTGTGGAAAACAATCCAAATAATAAAAATTGCCTTATAAGGCATATACATGATAATGTTAATTATGGAAAGTGATTTGTTAATAGGAATTTAAAGTTTATTTTATTTTAAAAATGTTGTTGGTTCTTTTCGCAGTTTCAAATCCTATTTGGAACAGTAGAAAATCAAAAAAAAAAAAATTTGGAATTCCTAAAATATAGGTTTTCCTAATAAATAAATCAGGTTCAATTCGAATAGAAGCTATGTACAAGAACTTTTTGTTTCTTATTAACTATCAAGAGCATAAATGAAGGGATTATAAATTGAAGATGAGAGGATTGGCGGAAGGAGTTCAATATAAAGGTAATTCCAATAAGTTCAATTACCACAAAAAGTAAAATAAAGGACGACATGTTTCCGTATTAGGATAAGAAATTTCATATGACGTTGTGTTTTATTAGAATACATAGTAGGGAAATTACCAGCTATGTCCATTTATAGGTAGCTCATTACAAAAATTGGCCAATTGATAAAATATTACTAATATTAGCCAAATTAGCCAATTAGCTATTTGTAGTAAAAAAATATCAAATTTTTGCTTTGTTTTGAGTGGGTGTTATTAGAATAGATTGGGCACAACTTAAGGAGCTTGAATCTCAGTTTTGGGATGATTTGGTGAAGTTTTGAGGTGGTTTGAATTGAAAATTCGAAATAAAAGCTGAACATGAAAAAAAATGATATGTGTATCACACTGTGTATCATTTGTGTATCACATATGTATAATATTTGTATCAATTGTGTATCACATGTATATCCATGTATACCTATGTGTGAGATACATGCGTGATACATGTTTGATACATGTGTCGCAGAAGACTTTTTTGAACACGATTTAATTATGAATTTTGATACAAGACCACTCCAAATCACCTCCAATCTTCCTCAAATTTTGTATTGACTTATCTATATATTTTCAATGAATTTCAACTATACCCATTGAAAAAGTTCCTTTTTTGTTTAGATTTTTGGAATATTTATATAGATTTTTGTATTTCATCACCTTATTTGCTACCTCGTCCATAAAATTTCTTTTCCGTCTTGTATCTAATGTTGCTAATCACACTTAAAAATATGGAAGGTGATTTTTGCATGTGATTCTTTGAGAGAAAGAACCCTATTATTTGGTTTTTCAATTTTTGTTGGCTAGTTTTGGTAAGTCCGTGACTAATGGCTAGAGGTTGGTAAGTTGAGATTTATTTGGGACATTTGTATAAGTTTTCCTACATAGTATACGCGCTTTGTAAGTTCTTATCACAATTTTAATTGATTTCAGAGTCTTAAATATTACAGTTTTATCCAATACAAAATAAGTTCTTTGAAAAATTAAAATATTTTGAAAGGTATAAACGTCGATCACTATTTTAGGGATATTTTTATCGTTCAACATTTTGTCTTTTAATATTCGTGCTTTTATAATAATATAGATAGATAGATAGATAGATAGATAGATAGATACTACTCTATTTGTGGCGGTACAATTAATAATATGATGGCACAAGTTAATTTGATAGAGAAATTAATTCAACTATAGAGGAGTGATTTTATTTTGTGTCTCACACAACTTACACTAGTTGTGTGAGGCCTCTTTTTATCTCACATATTTGTGGACCCATATCTTACACATCTGGGTCCACAAAATTCTGGGACCCACACAGTTGTGAGACAAAAAAGATGCCTCACACAACTAGTGTCAGTTGTGCGAGACACAAAATAAAATTTTTCATAGCCAGAGGCAAGAAAAGACGCGAAGGCAACTCTTCGAAATGAAAGTGCGTCACATTTTCTAGGAAAGAGGATGATGGAAATGACTTATAGCCCGTTTGGCCAAACTGTAAAAATCAGCTTATTTTGGGGATATTTTTAAAAATAGTCAGATTTGCAACTGGTCGTTCAAATATAGCCCAATTTCAAAAGTAATCGAAATTTAGTCACCTTTTATGTAAAGATAAATCTGAGCGAAAACACTGTTCAAAACCCGAAAAATACTCCAGTATATTATGCTGGAGTTCCAGCATAAGTATAATTGAACTCCAGCATATTATACTGGAGTTCCAGGATAGTATGCTGGAACTCCAGCATAATATGATGGAGTTCCAGCATAAATACACTAGAACTCCAGCATAATATACTAGAGTTCCAGCAAGTATAATGGTCCAGTATAATATACTGGAGTTTGGAGCACCAATGCTCCAGTCTCCAATATATTATACTGGAGCCAGCAAAGTATATCGGTCCAGCAGAATATGCTGGAGTTCATACACAAGTGCACCGAACTCCAGTATATTATGTTGGACCGGTCTCTATTGCAGCAAAACGGTGGCTATTTTTCATTGACTTGGTAAACGCTAGCTATTTTTGATTGACCAGTCCGAAAACTGGCTATACCGTGAAATTTTGTCCTTATTTTGAGAAGTGCTTTTTTTCAAAAGTGTTTTTCTCAAAAGTACTTTTGGTGAGAAGTAGTTTGTGTTTGGCTAATTAGTTTGAAAAGCACTTCTGAGCAGCAATTAGTGTTTGGCCAAGCTTTAAAAAACTGCTTCTAAATGTATTTTTCTCGAAAGTGCTTCCCAAAAAAGGCTTTTGGAGAGAAGCTACTTTTTTCTGCTTCTCCAAAACTGCTTCTGCTTCTCCTCAAAAGCACTTTTTTTCTTCCAGAAGCTTGGCCAAACACCTCAATTTTTGGCCAAAAGTGCTTTTGGCCAAAAAAAGCACTTTTGGTCAAAAATAAGCTTGGCCAAACAGGCTATTAGACTTGTGATCCGGGGAGGATCCCGATGTCGGGTTCAATTGAACCCAATACTTTTGAAATTTATATAGTATTCTATGTAAAATTATCTAAAATAGGAACAAGTAGTAGATATGAGCTAATAACTTTAACAATATAATGGGTTCAATACTAAAAATTTTAAAACTTGAACCCATAAAATTCAAATCCTGGATCCGCCACTGCTTGTGATGGGTGGTAAGTACCCTCCATCTTAATCAGATGTCTTAGGTTCAAATTCTTAGAATGATGAATGCAATCGCCTTTGATAGAGAACACGTTAACCCTATAATTTGGGATTGCTCAGCGCAAAACCGAATTTAGTCGGCCCAAAGTAGGTACTGGACACTGAATAAAATCGAAGACAAAAAGGACATTATATTCTTGCGGAAACAACACAAAGTAAATATATATGCCACATTGACTCTATTAATAGACTCTTAATCACAGTTGAATTCTTCTATTTAAGTTCTAACTATGTCACCAATAAAAAAGGAAGGAAAATAAACACAGAAGGCATACATATTTGGTTGGTGAGGAAACTGAACACATTCAGGTTCACAAATGGTCACTTAGTCAAATGAGGACACATCCCAAATTTCAACGTCATAAATAGTACTCATTCCTGAGTTTATTAAGTAATAAGTCTCTTTTTCTTTCACGAGATTTCTAAGTTCATAACCAGTAGCTTCAATCAAAATAAATTTAGTCAGCTAAATCCCAATTGATGATTAAAAAGTGCCACTAAACTCTGTCGGTTCTATACTTAATACTGGGCAAGTCTAATGGAGAACTGCACATATACACATTGTATTGGGAAAATCAAGTTAACATATTGAATTAATTATGTGATGATATATCAAGACTCGTGGATCAATAAAAGAGTGATAACTGGCAAAGGATAGCAGAAGAGACACGAGCTTTGACAGGCACGGGCAGAGATTCAAGAAAACAGGGAGGAACAGTTACTCGGGCCTCTTGGTAATATGAAGAGGCATTAGAAGAATGAACCTAGATACCAAAAAGTACAAATACGTATTATCCGTAATTAATGAGCATCAATGACGTAAAACGTTATAAAATCTTCACGAAACAGTTACGATTACCAATCATAACATTATATTAAATGTCATTAATTGCTCATAATGGCTCTATTATAAGAGGAAAGGAATACTGAGAGATAGCTATAAAAGGAGAGGTATAACATTCACTACAAGAAATAAGGGCTACGGTGACATTTAATAAATGTCTCATTAAGTGCCATAACTGTCGTAAATTTACTTACCGACATTTATTTTACACTTAGGTCAAATGTCGTAAATTTTATTGTCGGGAAATTTTCGACATTTATATTAATGTCGGTAAATAATTTACGACATTTATTTCCTGACTCTTTTTGAAATGTCACTTTAAAATTTCTGACATTTAATCTATTGTCAGTAAATAAATAGTTCGTAGCTTAGTTTATGACATTTAGAAGTGATGGGAAATTTGAGTGACTAGTGACACTTCTATAGCACATCCTTTAATGTAGAAACTAAAATTTTATTTCATTAACAGGAAAGTATTACCGTCAAAGTTCAAATTGTACTTACAAATGTCATTCACCATAAACAATTTAAACAAAAATAAAATATTTGCAAACATAAGATCCCTATACAAGAATAAAATTATACATCTTTACAATTAAACATTGCTGGATTCAAACTAATATTGGGACAAGAGATATTTTCACTTCTTCACCTCTGTTTTCCACTCCTTCTGCTACTTTCTTGTAGGAGCTTCCTCCCCAAGTCGCTTGAGTGCCTACTCATTTGGTAATCTCCTGAATTGCAAGAAAAAGATTGTCCAAGGTGATGATCAAATGATGGCTAATACCAATAATTATTGCAGAATTCCAACGTTAAGTAATAAATTCCCTGGAAGAGAACAGAAAGGATATTAGGCAATTCTATAAACTATGCAGTAGGATTTAATAAAGATAGCAGCTATTCGGGTAAGTAGTTGTATGTTATTATAGTCCAATACTTATCTTTCTAAGTAAAGTATCTCCTAATCCAGAAATTATAACAAATAAAACTAACTTATAAAGACTGCATCAATCAATTACATACTATTTGGCTTAAAAGAAATCAAGGAGAATCATGAATTTGACACAGAGATACACAACAATTCAAATGTTAAATAAGTCGGTAAAAGTTGGTGGAGTATTGAATTTGGTGATATTGGAATCAACAATCCTAACCTCAGCAACCACCGTTAAGGAGTACACTTTAATCAGTCAACAGAAGTTTACTGTACAAGAAATAAACATGGAGCTCCAAAACTAGCATACATCTAAATTGAGCTCCATAACTAGTACACATCTAAATGTAACCCCGCGAGAAACATAACTCATTTGAGTGAGACATCCTTGATATACCATATATAAGTAAACAAAAAATACAAAAGAAAACTTAAAAATATAGCTTTTTTAGAATAAGATCAAATAGAGGCAAAACTAAAGACACATGCATAGCCAGTTTCATCCAAACTCCACTATCAAGCAAAACTCTTTGTTTCATCAGCTTGCCAAATGCCAACTAAGATCACTGAATATCTGTATCCTATTTGAAACCAGTGTCAGAATTGAAATAAGTATTACCTCATTTTCACATTCCTCCTAACAAGATATTGACACCAATGATTAATATTTATATTGGAATATATATATATATATATATATATATATATATATATATATATATATATATATATATATGAGCCAACAATCAACCATTTGAGTATCTTTAGATGAAAAACCCGACAACATTCATTACTCTAATTAGAGTTAGACAATAAATTTCTTACTCTAAAGCAAGATGGAAAATCAAACAAAATTAACTGAATGCTTTATCAAAAACAAAACAAAATTTGCTTAGAACCCCCCC